GGACGCTATTTTTAGCACACAAAAGGAGGACATGTCCGGGTAAATCCGGACGAATGGTAACCCTAGGTTAGGGATACTGGTGTGACCTCACCTTGCAGTCCCCAAAGAAAGAATTGGGTGGACTAAATGGACAGTGCCCCTCTCTATCTGAAGTCTAGCAAGGGAGGTACGTGGATCCCACTAGAATTTAAAATGAAAAGTAAGGGAGGGGGGGCTCTGGACCTGGGCAGCTTTAGATACAGTACCAGGCACGTAGGAAGATTTCTACTTCTGAGCCATGGAAGCAGAAATGGACTTTTCCTTTCCAGATTTAGCTAATAGTCAGAAGGGGAATCTAGCACCTGCCTTCCAAATTTGAACACCCTCAAAATTCAGGAGTGCTGAAGCTCAGTTTGGGCAGCTGTTACTTCATTTCTCCCAAATCAAATATACTGATCCACTGTAACTTGCTGTAGAAAAAGTAGGATAAAATTGAGCAAGAAATGCTTCCCAGTGGTTATTAGGACTGGAATTGCTATTTTCAACAGCCATTGCCTTTTTAAAAAAATTTTATTTGTTTAAAAGGAAGACAGTGATATTGCATTGGCAAATTCCCTATAGAAACAAATAGTGGAACAAAAGAATAATAAAGGGATCTCAACTTTTCCTCATTTATGTAGGACAGTCTTATAATATGCATCCAGATATCCTTCAATCACACAAGCTGAAAATTGTTGCACTTTACTACAGTTCTGTAACCATATGGGAACCAATCCTGTCTGTGTTCTTTGCACATCCAAAATTCCTGCTGTTACCACTGACCCAGGGCTGGGGCAGCAGGAGGGTGTGGGTTGTGGGGAGGAGAGCCCAGGGCTGGGGCAGCAGTGGGATGCAGGGGGGGACAGCCAAAATTTTTTTTGCTTGGGGCGGCAAAAAACCTAGAGCCGGCCCTGTATCAAAGGTTTACCACTGACTTCAGTGGGAGCAGAATCAATCCAACACCAAGTGCTTTTGAAAACTCGACCATAATCATGCTTCGGTGTGTAACACCCCCACTCATTGTATATCAGAGTTCTGCAGTTAAGGCAGAGATACAGGAAGTCAGAGTTCAGTTCCCATCTCTGCCCCAGACTCAACTGTGTGACTTTGGGCAATTTTCTCAGTCTCTCTGTGCATAGGTTCCCCACTTGTAGAAGGAGGATAATAATCCTTACAAACCCCTGTGAGGAAAGGAAGGAGAAATTCATTAATATGCATGAAAGCTTCAATACTATGTGAAATATCAGCGTGTTTGTGGGCTTCACCACACATGGCATTAACATGTTGTAATCTGTAGGCATTCCAGTGGGACACCCAGCCAGCCATAGGTCAAAGCAACATCGCTCTGCAGAACCATTAACCTTAATTTTGGGTGGCGTTTCCATGCTTTCAGAAATAACCCATTTCCTCTGATTTTTCTGCAGGGCAGCAACAGTGACTTTTGGTCCTTCATGAATTCAACCTTAGTGAAATTGAAGACCATGTGTGCCCAGGACAGAGCAGAACCGCTGCAGGTCAGAGGTTCTGCCCCTACGTGTGTGGGCGCTCTATGGCCAAATGCCCTGAGCACTGGAATAGCAGTCTAACTTTGGGGGGGAATTGTAGCTGCTCTTCAGAAAAGGGGTGTGTGTGCGCATGTGCATGCTCTCTAGCTTAAGTGGCAGGGGATCTGGGTTCTGTCCCCACTGGTCCTAGGAAGATCCAAATTCCTTCTGGGGACAACACAGAGAGAACCTAGATGCCTGCTGATTTGTTGCAATGTTTTCCTGAACGTACACTGAAGGGACCAGGGATGAGGAGTGAATGACACAGGGTTTTGGCCCTACCCTGGCTTCAGCCTACTATGGAGTCCTGAGCAAGCCTCAGTAGCCTCACTCGCTCTGTAAAGGGCTCCCTCTTTGAGAATGCTGCAGTCCCTCTGAGTGGGGAAGGTCACTATGAACCCATATGTCCCTAAGAGGGTCATTGTTCCCCTGGGAGTCTGAAGAATGTGTCTCATGAACCACTGAAATCCTCCCTCCTTCTCACGGTGTTTCCTTTCCCAATCTCAGGAAGTTGCTGGCCCCTTTGGTTCCTTCCTGAATAGCTCCACCCTCAGTGCTGGTAGGAATGAGAGCAAGAAGGAGGTGGCCTTAGCCGTGACGGTCCTCCTGCAGAGTGTGGAATTGGCTGCATTGATTGCTGCTTTGAAGTCTCCGGAGATGAAGAAACAGAATTTGACAACAGACTCTATGGGTGAGGAGGATGGGAGTGTCCCACATCACCTGGTGGTGGCTGTGAGATAGGGGGTTATACTCTTCTCAATACAGAACACCACTGCAGCCTCGCTGCCCCTCTCTCAGGGTTTATAACCCAAACATGGGCGGCAGGTGATCGAGCCATTGAGAGAGACTAGACCCCGGCCCCTCCCATTCCACCCCATCTCTTCTGCTGGAGCCCAGAGCAACCCATCCCCATCCCTGCACTACCCCAGCCCTGGAGCACCAGGTGGGCAGCGCAGCGGGAGCACCCCCAACCCTGGAACGCCGGAAGCTGGAGCGTCCCCAACTTCAGCGCCGGGTGGAAGAGCAGGCAGCATGACGATGCCTGGCCCTGGCCCTGGCCCCAGCACCCCAAGCCCTGGGCTTTGTGAGCACCAGCCCCAGCCTGCCTGCCCCAGCCTCTCAGCCACAGAAGAGCGGGAAGGGAACTGGAAACAGGCAGGAGGGGACCTGGGGCGGAGCATGGGCTGGGCCATGCCAGGGTGTTTAGGGAGGCACAACCTTCCCCGGCCTATGCTACCCGCCACCCATAAACCCAGCCCTGGGGCTTTGCAGCAATGGCAGCTGCCTGAGAGGGTTTTAAAAGCAATGCCAATGTCCTGTCGCCACAGGCAGCTGCCATTGCGTCCTCCTTTCACTCCCTACCCCAGCAATACCCCATCCTGCTGCTTCCCCTGCTAAAGCGCAGAGGTGAGGCAGCAGGGAGAAGTTGCCTTCTGCGTCTTCGCACAGTGGCATCTTCATAGGGACCCAGGGATGATGGATCATAGAAGGTCAGCCAGAGGGGCTCAGGGAAACACAGAGAAATGGAGGCGAGGAGAAAGGGAAAGGGGGTGGTGGGATTCAGAGAGAGTGGAGCTCCAAACCTGCCTTGCCCTTGCAGCAAGAGGCTTTGCCATTTCCCTCCCCAGCTATCGAGACACTCCTCGTCCCGGCTGCAGTTCCCTGTGAGAAGAACTTCACGCTGAGAGCTCAGGAGGAGACAATGGACATTCACTGCAATACAGTCACCAGAGCAGCCACAAACGGTACCATCCTGTTGCTTCCCAGGCACTCACCCCTTTAACTAGACACCAAACTCCAGCCCTAGTTCTCCCCTTCCTCTCGCCCCAGGCTGGCTTGCTTGCCTCTCTTATCCTGACACTAGTGTGGACCTTGTTGGCTGAGCCAGTGTTTCTCAGGCCATTGAGCTCTGCAGAGCCCTTCATTCCTGGTTGTCCCGCAACATGAAAACCAAGCAATGGGAGGAGCAGGGAGGAGAGAGCAGCTTTGATAGGCATATGAACTGGTCCAGAGAATGGAAAGATCAGAGATCCGTTGGCCCAACACATGATGTCCTGATGATGAGTCCAGCTAGACCCCAGGTTGACGTGTGTGACTTTCTGGAATGGAACCAGGATAATATTTACCGATTTTACTCCTATTTTCAGGCCTGTATGACCTAACTGGGACTGGTTCTTAATTCTTTATCACCAGGGAAAGCTCCTCACTAACCAACCCCTCTGCCTCTCCTAACCAAGAAAAACTATGGCTTCACCTCAGTGCCTTTCATGTAGGGCTGTCTACCTAGCTGGATAATTTTGAGTATGAGGATATGATTTCTAAAGAGCACTAACAGACGGTGCATTAATTGGTCTGTAGAGACCCTACTAGTGTGCACTAAAGGTTCCCTAGTGTGCTCTAATATACGTTAGTGCACTTTAGGAATCACAATCCCATAGCGTACCCCAATGTTTCCAACACAGAAGTGCTTCTGTGCAAGAAGAGGGAGGAGGCAATATACTCTAGTAGTTAAAGCTCAAACTGCTAGCCAGGACTCTTGGGTTCTTTTCCCGGCTCTGCCCCAGACTCGCTCTGACCTTTGGCAACTGGCTTGCTCTTTCTTTGTCTCAGTGTCCCTGTGTCTACGATGAGGCATCATTTCATGTTTTCAGGTTCCTGGGCTGTTGTTTTTATTTCTTACTCCACCCTGGACTCCATCATTGACAAGAGATTTCTCATCGAGGGAGATCTAATGGCTGATGAGAAATTGAGGAATTGTCACCTGAATTCCAAGGTGGTGAGTGGGGCTGTCGGAGCTGGGAGGCTCATGAACCTCTCCAAACCTGTGAACTTCACCCTACGCCATAGAGAGGTGAGTGTAGATCCTTTTACTTTGCTCTGTGCCAGGGACTCCAGCTGGTCACTTCAAAGGTGCGTCTCCTGCAGGGGATTTGAGTTGTGTTGCCTTTCTGGACTGAGAAACAGTTATCTGAGAAAGAGAGGGAGCTTCTTCAGTCCTGACACGGGGGCTGTTTTGGGGAGGACATTACATAGGGTTCGCACCAGGCCTGATTGGGTTATGATTCATCATGTAAAATGCTCAGGAGTAACAACTGTCTGGCTCACCCCTTAGAGCAGGAATAATTGGAAGGCATCTCCCTATAGCAGTGGTCCCCAAACTTTTGAGGGTCACACCCCTCCAACCCATTCATGCTCCTCCCCCTGAGCCAGGGCCGGGAGCAGGGCTGTGGCTTGGGGGGGATGGGGAAGGACATAGACAGGGGTAAGGGGGCTGAGGCTCAGGCCGCAGCTGGGGGTGAGGCTGGGGCTCAGGCTGGGAGCAGGGCCAGAGCCATGGCCGGGGGCTGAGGCTGGGGGTGGGAGTGGAGCAACAGCTAGGCTGTGGTGGGGGCCAGCAGCTAAGCCCATGGGCAGGTGCAGCTCCGCTCCCAGCCCCACCACTGCCGCCAGCCTGGGCTGGGACTGGAGCCGCAAGGGGCTGGGGCTGGGAGTGAAGCCATGCTGAATCTGGGGATGGTGCCAGACATGGGGCTGGAAGTCAAGGATGCAGCTACTGGTGGGACCAGAGCAGAGCTCAGGGTGGGGAGGGGCTGGGTGGTGCTCCCTTTTCGCACCCCATGGGGGCTGACCCAGGACCTGTCATGTCCCTCTGATGGTTCGTTCCTCTGTGTCCCCATAGGGGGGCGCACCCCACAGTTTGGGGACCTCTGCCCTATAGATAGTGGAGTTCAGGGAAACGGCATGAGATGGTGCCTTCTTTGATGAAGTAATGAACTTGCTAGCGTGCATGTGGGTATTTGTGGGCAGGTGTGTGAATGCCTTTTAATGCCACAAATCGGAACTGCACAATTGTGTGTCATAGACCCTACAGTGCTCAGAGTTAAGGGAATTACCACTTTAGCTCTGGGCTCAGGGGCTTGTGCTATTGGAGCTGGAGGATCTCGCTTGTATTTCCACTGCCAATGGGAAGTCCCAAATGGCTGTTACGTGCAGCACAATGAGAGCCATGAACCCTTTGGTGAGATCAGGTTTATTACTGTCTATTAGAGATATGTGACAAAAGAAACAGTGTTCTCCCCATGATCCAGTGAGGATGATGATGGGGTGTTTTTGTTTCCAGGCAAAGAAAAAGGAGGAAGTGGTTCGCTGTGTTTACTGGAAATTCATTGCTGGGAATGGCACCTGGGCTAAGGATGGCTGCACCGTTCTCTACACGAACAGCACTCACACCAACTGCAGCTGTAACCATCTCACCAGCTTCGCACTCCTTATGGGTCTCACCAAAGTGGAGGTATCTCACTGTCAGACTGAGCTCAAAGGGCTGGACTCTGAGCTCCTGACCTGGGCAAAATCAGTGGGAATTTTGCCTGAATGAACGCGGCGTAGGAACCTCAGGGTATAATCTGTGGCCACACAGGATGGGTCAGGGTCAAGGGGGCTGGGCTGGGATTGTGATCTGAGGTGCCTAGGGTAGCCCACACTGACAATGCCAAGACCAGGATAGGCTGTAAAAAGGAGAGCAGATTCCCCCAAAACTGGTGATCATGTTTTCTAGAGCGTTACACTGTTGACTCATATTTAGCTTGTGATCCACTCAAAGCTGTCCTTAGGCATATGCAGCTGCATAGGTGGCAGTGTAGGGTACCTGAAAATTTGGGGCACCCCTGGATCCTAATGTCCACCTCCCACCTCTTCCTTTCCCTGTTCTGACCCTGTCTGCCGGCTCCCACAGCTGGCTGCTGCAGCCTGGTGACTCTTACTCCAGAGGGGATCTAGTAACTTAAAAGTGAAAGGTTTCAGAGTAGCAGCCGTGTTAGTCTGTATCCGCAAAAAGAAGAACAGGAGTACTTGTGGCACCTTAGAGACTAACAAAGTTATTAGAGCATAAGCTTTCGTTGTGAAACAGACCACTGCTTTGGTGCTGTTCGGCTTCAAACGTTACAGCTTCGCGACTA